GCCCTAGGCATTCAGACTACACTACACACAGACCTACTAGTCTACATTCAATGTCAAGGCAAAGTCAACTGCACGTGGATGATGGGGTGCTTGTCAAAAGTCCAAAACGATCGATTGATATATAAACAATGCATACTTATCCGTATGACTTTTGGAAGGTTATAACATACCACAGCCTTACATAAATTACCTTTTTAAAAGGTATTCGCAACAAGTAATACCACGCTAGGATTTCACATGGGCGCAACCATGACACATCCGGGATCTTCCACACCACAGGCAATATGGCTGCGCCCATGAAGTCATGATGTTTACAGTGGTTTTGTTTTTGTAAACTTTGTTCGCGTGTAAATAAAAATAAGAGATGTTAGAAAATATTGTTAGTGGACGGGAGCAGTCAGGCAGTATACTGATCAAAGGTAATAACCATTTTTATTTAGGTTTTTGAGTTAGATTTATACGAGCCAAAATGTAAGTGTTTATGATCGGGATTTACTGATTGAATGTTGAGAGTGGCGACTTTCATAGAGGCTTTCACAATTTTAAGTTTCAATGGAAACATTTTCAGGTATATAGCTGTGGAACAAAAAGAGATGTGTACCATGAGACTGCAGATGACAGTGGAAACTTATTTGACTTTTTTTTTTTTGTATTTTCAGACAGTGTTCAACAATATGGAAGAGGTTTACTGAAAGCTTTGATAATAGAGGTGTCAAACAGGTAAACAGAAAGCATCAGCCTTCTTTTGGTTGCCAACTTGTTAATAAGTATAATTTCTCAATCTCGCCTTTTTGACACATGTCGAATAGTGAAAATTCAGTTAATAATACTGAAATTATATACAGATATTCAAATTTGTTCAGATTTATCAAAATCATTATAATTGAACTCAGGAATGTATTCATTGTTCAAGGGTGGATCAAGTGCATATATTCAGTTTTGACCCAAATGCAGATGAAAAAAGCCAGGACCTCTCGGGCCATTTGCAAGCAAAGTATGTATTTATTACTTCTGTGATTTAATTTTCTGCAGTTGCTTAAATATTTAGTAATGTCAATTCAATAATTAACACAAGGCTCCATATACCCTTTGGTGTTAATTGCCTGGCACAAGCAATTTCTGGAGTCCTGCAACTTGAATTTAAGCCATACTTAACCAGTAATCCAAATGACTAGCTAATGGATAACTTGCTTGAGGTGGAATGGATTTATTAATAAAATAATCTTTAAATTTCTAACTGCTCTGCATTTCAAAATGGCAGCTTGTTGATTAGAATATTAATATTACATTATTTTAGTGTCCAATACCATGACTGCAGCTCAGATCCTCTTGGCTGGGAGGGGACACCTGAGTGCTACAAGCTGCAGCAAGACTTTGTGCTTTATGCCAAGGAATCTGTGAAGGGGATCAAAGACAAGAAGGTTCTGATAGTGCTGGACTCTCTCGGTCCTTTTCTGCTGCACAGGGTGACACCTTACACTTGTCAGGTTGTCAGCAGACTGAAGGACCAGGATGTCATTGGTGCTGGTAGGTTGGCAGCTAGGATCCTGTCAGTTTTTATTTTTTATTTTTACTTTACTTTATTTCATTGCATTTGTTATTTTATTTGATATATTAAAGTTGCCATTCATTTGATATTTGATAATTGTTCATGTCACATTTTGCATTATTTTTCACAATTATTTTTTCAATTTAATGTTATTTTAGTTTGTTATTTTTTACGTCACTGGTGCCATAAATTTGATATTAGATGATAAATTCTGTCATCAGATTATTTTGGGAGAGCATTCTCACCCAAAACAAAATATCACCTTGAAAGGATTTGAGCTCTAGGAAGTCAGCATTTTGACTGTAAAAACTGACCAGAATTTGATTTTTCAGAAAGTGTCCAGGTGATGGCTCTCCTGCATGAAGATCTCCATGACGAGCCCACTTCCAGGCTGGTAGAAATGGTATTTTCCACAGTGGTGACAGTGCTGCCCCCTGACAGGACAAACTGTTATGCCGTTTGTGATATACTACACAAAAAACAGTCAGGGAAAATTATGAAATCAGTAAGTGATGTGTCTGAGGATTAAGGGGACGAGGGATAGAATGGGTGGTATGATGAGGCACAGGAATTTTTTCTCCTGAGAGGCCTAAGATGAAAAAAAATTGGGGCTAGAAGTCTTTTATTGTAATGGAGGCATTCTGAAATTCTATAAAGTCTTGGGTATTACAACATGCTCTGCGTGTAACTTGCAGTAGGTGGATTTTATGTGTAATTTTATATATAAGAAAGATCATGCATTAAAAAAAGGTGAATTCAGTGAGATTTTGGTTAAATTATCGAGAAAATCATTTTTTTAGATGTAGATATTTCAAAATAGGTAAAACATGATACTACTTTTTATGAAATGGGGTTTTCATGGTCTTTAGGTTATATGATACAAGTAAGTTATTTTTATTTACAGACTAAATATTTTCTGTTAAGGAGCTGTTATATTTCCATGTTTCAGAAAGAAAGATTTTCCATATCCCAGAATTTTGACATTCAGGATGTGGAAGCTGTGATAATGCTTACAAAAAGGAAACCAGAGGATGCACTAGATACTGTAAGTTGATGTCAAATAAAGAAAAATCTAGCACTAAACCACTAAATTTTAGTGGTTAAATTAGTATAAGAAATTAATAATAAATTAGTATTAAAATGCTATAACATTGCTAAACACGGTCAAAAATAAAATGCCCAAGAACAAAAAAAAAGGGACTAAGGGAGTACCGTTGATTAAAGAAGAGACACTGAAAGTGTACGCCGTTGGGACAAAATTGTATTTCAGAGACTCCTGTAGGCTGTATATGAGAATGTGATGTAGTCTTAATGTTGACCCTCCCCCCCTTCCCCCCCCCCCCCAAAAAAAAAAAAAAAAAAAAAAAATTAGTGAATGCTGTAGAGTTTTTGTCAGTGCCCTGAAATTTAGGGTGCTTCAAAGCACTACTTTGGGTAGAATGTAATGCCTTGCCAACACTTTCTCTAGCAGGCCGATCCAGCTGCCAACTTGACCTTTAACCTCAGTTTAACTGATGCAGAGAAGGAGGCCAGAAGCCAGCTTAAACTGCCGTATATGCATGATGATGAAACGTGAGTATTATAGGTCATTCTCAGATGGTGGTTAAATATTTTCTGGAGAATATAAAACTTGGTGTAGGATATTATTTTGTAGGTAAATATATTGTCTAAAGTTGTAGTTTACAATAATATTTCACTCACAGACATAAAAATTGCAAAGTGTTGTTGAAATGTTGAAATAATTGACAAAAAAAGGGTGGGTGATTTTTTTAGAGGTCTAAAATTTTTAAGAGATCTGAAATTTTTCAGGCAAATGTTTAGTTGTCATGGTCTATTTCTCATAAGTTTAATTGGAAATCAGTGTTGAACGTCTATTAATTTCATATTCAGAAAACATGGTATACTGCAGAAAGGAACTGCTGTCCACAGTAAAATCTTTTACCAGCCTGATGAGGCAGACGACTTTGATGAAGAGGATCCTGATGATGACCTTGACATTTGATCCAATGGCCTTGACCTAACCTTGACATTTGAGCTGATGACCTTGGATCTGAATACCTTGCAACGTTTTCAATGTCTTTGACCTCACTTGAAAGAAAGGATGGATATGAAGTATATTGCAGGCATGTTTGCTGCTTTACCACGCTATTAAAGTTGTGTGAAAAAGTTGGAAAAAGAAAATATTCTGGACAACTGTTCATTTGGTTTAAGGCAGTACGTGGTGATCACAGTTACTGGAAATAAAATTGTGAAGTATTTTTCTTCCAGTTGTCCAATTTATCTTTTCCAAAGGAAGACAAATGGGCTCTATTTTAAAATGTCCACATTGCACCAATCTGTAAATGTTTTACAGAATGCTTACGCTTAACCTTTTAAACGCTTTTACCTTTTAAAATGTAGAAATAAATATAAATTTACGATCCAAATTTTGATAATCCCCTTTTAATTTTTAATGACATGAAAATTTTTGCAGTGAACCCAAGGTGGGAAGAGCAACTTGAAAACAACTGTGTTAAAAACATTTTATTCATTTTCATTTCCCTCCAGGAATTTAACAGCACAGCACAACATTCAGTGAGGCATTGTTGACAGAATCCATGGCACCCCATGTAAACAAACAGTTACTAATGGTAACTAAAATACTCCTATCACTGTGATCATAATAACTCAATCTAAGGAACAATTCTTCTAAACCTGCCAGTCCTTTCTTCTACTACATATGTATGAAAGTAACAAAATGATTATGTCATTTGCAAGGTTCTAAACACCAAGTATAAAGCTTAAATGCCTAATTAATCTTTTCTTCAGATAAACTTAATTTGAACACAGCAAAGCACCATAAACTAGAACATGCAACTTCTCCTTGCTACAACAATATTACCACACACTTATGAGGAAGGAAAAAGCAAACTCTGTTACAACTGTCTTTGGTTAATAACAAAAGGACCTGTAAAGAGAAATGTTAGCAGCCACAGCATATTTTAATGAGAACAAATTAAGTTGATTCTTTGGCTTTACATCCAAAAGATTTACCGTTTTACCTCGAAGATGAAGTCCACCAATCAACTGGTGATTATAGTTCAGTTTGTGATAACCAAGACAAAAGTAGTAACATATGACCAGATGTTGATCAGAAGTTCATGCTAATTTGATCTGGAACTAACAGTAGTGCATTTAGGTCATCCTTATTATGCTAAACCAGCTGTAATAGTTTAATAACCTAGATACAAGTATACAGGTCAATGACATTGATAAATATTAAAGCCACTGACCTTAATATATGTATGATATACAAATATCAGTCAGTGACCTAGATACTGGTAAATAGAGGTCAATAGAAGTCATTAAGCAGTCTTACGCCGTAACTATCTCAAGCCAAGCACCACATCCCAATATTCAAGTGTTCTTTTCTTTGTCCACTTATCTCTTTTTTTGTCCACTTATCTCTTTTTTTTCCCACTTAAAACCTGTCTGTGAGTGCGGTAGGTACTATTAAATTTAACCAGTCTGTAAGAGTTGAACTTGTGACTATCTTCATATGTAAACTTACAATAATAAGAACTTGATAAAGCTTGTGAGGGAAGCAGAGGTCCTCCTCTCACAGTACATATACCTAACAAATATATTTTGCCCCATAATGATAACAACAGTAATATCAAGATAACATTGTCTCTTCAATTAAGTTGTTCTATGTGTTATAATGAAACTGGGTGTTAAGGAGTTGATAATAACAAGTGGAGAGAGAGTGAAATCGTTCTTCCTATTAACATTCATACACTGTAAATATACTGTAGTAGCACAGTACTTTAAGTCCTTCTCAGGTATGTTACAATGATGACTATACAGAAAGCCTATGCATTGGGTTTTCTGTAGCTCCTGCCAGCGTATTTGGCATCGGCGCCAAGTTCCTCCTCGATTCTCAACAACTGGTTGTACTTGGCCAAGCGCTCTGAACGGCATGGAGCACCAGTCTTGATCTGAAATGAGTGCAGGTTTATCACAAATGAGCCGTGTTGTTGAGTCTCTAAGTAAGGAATAATTCTATTTTATGATTCAGAATTGTTAGGTTAAAGTTGAAACGATTCTCAAAACTTGTCAAGCTGACCGTCACAGCATTCCATTAAGAAATGTGAACAGATGAAACAAACAACAGGTTAATCTAATATGTGGAACTATCATTAATGAAAAATTTATAACTATCAAAACTGAGATCCAATAAAACTATTTTCACATCAAATTTAAGAGATGGCGACATACCTGTCCAGCGCAAAGTCCCACTACCAGGTCAGCAATGAAGGTGTCCTCTGTTTCCCCACTGCGATGTGACACCATGACGCCCCAACCATTAGCCTGGGACATCTTACAACTGAAACCAAAGATTTCATAGAATATAAATAATTTCTTTTCCTTCTATCTGTAATTATTTGTTCAAATTTAAGATGTTCTTTGAATAATGGCTATAAATTCTCATGTTTCATATCACGACGCCTCACGATGAATAACTGGCCTGAGACATCAAAAACTGATAAAATAAAGAATATTTTTTCTTTTTTTTTTAAACTTTTAGTTAACTTTTATCCTATGCATAATATCTTACAAGTATCAAAAGGTAGCCCTATATTACAGAATTGCCTACCCCTGGAGAACTGTGTGCAGATGCGTGTGTGTACGTCCGTATGTTTTTTTTTTGTGCATTTGTGCGTGTAAGCAACGCAATTTTTTCCTAATATTGCCCAACTGTACTTACGCCTCAATGGACTCTGTGACCGACCCAATCTGATTGACCTTCAGTAATAGAGCGTTACAAGCCTTGTCCTCAATGGCTTTCTTGATACGCTTGGGGTTAGTCACCAACAGATCATCTCTGCAATAACAAAAGTCAAAATGTTTGCTTTAATTCAAAAACAAAACAAAAAACAAAATTTAGATGAAAATATAGAAGCAGGTATATATTAAAAAAATTCTCAAAACTCCTAGAATCCCAGGCCCTTAATGATTCTCAGTGCTGAATGTCTTTATGTACATAGCGCTGACATGTTTGTGAATTGCAACTTATTATATATTATCACTATGATCATATTACCCAACAAGCTGGATGTTGGTGCCAGCGTTCATTTTGGCCCAGGCTGCCCAGTCATCCTGATCAAAGGCGTCCTCAATGGACTCAATGGGATAGTTGGTTGTGAAGTCTGTGTACAGGGCGTTCAGCTGGTCCGAAGTCAGCTGGAAAAAATGGTCAGGAATGATTTGTTATTAGAAAAAAATACTTTAAAAAATGAAGTAAAAATTTTCAGTACATGTGCACATGCACTTGTGTTGCAATTGTTCACTGACAGCTGCTTATCAATACTATACTTGACTCGTTGGTATGTTGGAAAATAGATTTCAAGTTTAAAAGAAGAACATTCAATTTGTTGTCTTGTCAGAATGATCTTTTTACATTAAAAAGACATCTGAATTATTTGGTGCTAGCAATGAGAATATTACTGAATTCTAGGGGACAATAGAGGTCCAATTCTGATGCAAGGTTAATTCCAAGTGCTTCTCAATAACACAAATACTATTCACAGTTAATAAACTGTCACAGTAACTGAACTGTTTAAACCTACATGATCGTAATTTTAACATATTACAGCACGTACCCACTTGCTCTTGTCAGAGTTGGGGTTCTTAAAGTCCAGATCATACTTCCCATCCTTGTAGAACTCGGAGGCGGCCACATCCATGCCGATGACCACCTTGCCAGTGTAGCCAGCCAGCTCAATGGCTGTCTTCAGGAGCTCCAGACCTGGGGGAGAGCAAGGAAACAAGTGGTAAAATATATCCATTTTTCATTAAAAAACATCTTTAAGTTTAGAAGTTTATGGGAGATGCATTTGTGCAGAATTGTCACTTAAGTACTGTGCGCAGTTCAAGGGCCATTTTCTGGGGTGTGAGGGGAGGAGTGATAATATGAAAAATAAGAAGCTATTTTGTAAATAAATTGGTTCTAGCTGCATCCTGTAAAACCCAGAAAGCCCCTGACTCACCTTCTTTGTTATCTTGGATGTTTGGTGCAAAGCCACCCTCGTCTCCAACATTGCAAGCTGGAAAATAAGACATTTTGAAGGCAGTGTTACATAAAACGGGGAAAATGTACATAATGTCATTCATTCAGTCATTCTTCCCACTTGATATTCAAATTTCATGTCACCTCTGAGCACATGATGCGAAGACTGAGCATTCTCACTTTCTGATTGACAAAGTATTGTTATGTGTTTCCACTCTTTAACTATTATAATTTTTTTGTTCAGTTGAGGTATATGTGGTGGCATGGGTGATTAAAACAAAAAATAATCCCCCTATCCCCAAACAAACTTCTTTTTAGTCAGAATCTTTCCTTCCATACAAACCCTTAAAATACTGCACAAAATTAGATAATCATTGCCACAAAACAAGTTAATATATATTATTAATGCTGGTTCATGCTTACCATCTTGTCCATACTTCTTCTTGATGACACTCTTGAGATGGTGATAGATCTCACTGCCCATACGCAGAGCCTCAGAGAAGCTGGAAGCACCTGAAGATACAAAAATATGTTGGATGTGACAGTGCGCTAGATGTGACAGTGTGTTAGATGTGACAGTGGGTTAGTTGTGACAGTGTGTTGGATGTGACAGTGGGTTAGATGTGACAGTGCGCTAGATGTGACAGTGTGTTAGATGTGACAGTATATCAGATGCCACAATGCATTAGATATGGCAATGACTAGGTTTTAACAGTATGTCAGAAGTAAAAGTTTGAGGTGTGATAGATGACCAAGTATTATAACTATTATGTAATGGCATGTCTTATGGAGGGACTAAAAGACTTCAAAAAGCATGTCATAAGGGCTTTTAAATAGGGAGGAAAACAAACAATTACCTGAAGGCAGCAGCATAAACTCCTGCATGGCCAGGTTGTTACCAGCGTGACTTCCGCCATTAATGACATTGAATGCTGGGACTGGAAGGATAACATTCTTGTTTCCCGCAAGATCAGCAAGATGACGGTACAAGGGAACGCCCTATACATCACACATTAAATGTTGTCATTACTGACGTGATTAACTAAAATTTCCTTCAAAATCTGCACACAGTTTTACTGTTTCAAGATAAAAAATAACAGAAAAATTAAGAGTTGCAATTAAAAAACTAATTAAAATTTGAACATTCCATGCTATCGAACAAATTCACCAGTGATTTTCAGCATAACACTGCTGTGTACTAGAGTCATATTTCAAAAAGAGCTTACATGATATTAACATTGGATCTCTGTTGATTTTATATTTTTGGAACTCATCTATGTACCTTTTTTGCTGCACCTGCCTTGCACACAGCCAGAGAAACACCTAGGATGGCATTAGCGCCGAGCTTGGCTAAAAAAATTGCATTATTTATCAGTCCCATATTTTACAAAATAGCCTTTATTAAAATAATGCAAAACAATGCTCAACTAAAGGACATACAATATATTTGTTATGGCATTTTTTTTTTAAAGATGAAGTAATTAAGGTACGTAGCACTTCTTTAGCTTCAAGGGTGTAAAATGACATAGTAATCAAAATTTAATTTCTTCTTTTCTGGCTTACTTACATTTATTATCTGTGCCATCCAGTTCCATCATAAACTTGTCCACCTCTGTCTGGTTGGTGACATCAAGGTTCTGAAAATTTTTAATGACCTTTTAGCAAGAATGTTAACTTGGCATTATTATACTGAGATGGAGAGAGAAAGAAAGAGAGAGAGAGACAGAGTGAGAGAGTGAAAGAGATATAATTTATAAAAAGAAAACATTTTCTTAAGTATAAAAATTTACATGGTAACGTATACTGCTTATAATGCTTATATATCAAATTCAGTGTGTACCTTAGCAATCAGAGCAGGAGCAATGATGCTGTTAACATTGTTCACAGCTTTGCTTACACCTGAAAATAACATTATAAATATCAATATTCAATAATTTTTTTTTCTCTAGGTATTCACAGCAAAAATTAATGGTAAAAAATTTATTACTAAATTTTTTTTTTATTTGACAGAGCACATAATTAATTAATCATAACAAAACCTTATACATGAGCACAGATTTAACAGTTATTACCTTTTCCATGGTATTGTTTTGGGTCTTTATCACGCAGTTCCAAAGCTTCATGGACTCCAGTTGACGCTCCACTGGGCACTGCTGCCCTGAACAGGCCTACAGGAAAACATACACATGTATTCTATTTCTCAAAAAAAAAAAAAAAAAAAAAAAAAATAAATAAATAAATAAATAAATAAATAAATAAAATAAAATAAAATAAAATAAAATAAAATAAAATAAAATAAAATAAAATAAATAAATAAATAAATAAATAAATAAATAAATAAATAAAAACTGTAAATACTCAGCATTCTTTGGTTATCTAATATCAGTGACTACCACAGTTATGAAGAATATGAAAACTAATTAACTGCATATTTTTTACATCTACACATAAACCTTCTCATTTAATAATAATCAAAACAGTTTTTTTCAAAATCATTACTATTTTTTCATAATATCAAAAATAAATAGAAAGTATTGATATTTCAGAACTTGAATCAATTCTAGATGATGCTCTGTCACATTTTCACCAACCCACATTGTGGCACAACCAAACTACATTTGTTACCTATATGTCGTCTTTTCTTATTCAATACTGCACGAGTATGAACTCTTCATTTCAGTATGTAAATGAAACATTTTTTCTTAAGAGTCAGGAATTGCTTACCATGGCTAGTGGTGACATCTACCTCCACTGTGGGGTTGCCACGACTGTCAAAGATCTGGCGAGCATGGACCTTAGTGATGGACATCTTGGAGATTAAGCTGGTGAAGACTGGGGCAGAAAATAAATATAAAACACATTTATTTCAACGGGTTATAGCCCTCCTCAAGCTTTATATTCTGTACTATAGTTGGAAGTGCATTAAATTTTATAATAATCAGGGATAGGAGGAGACTTAAAAACCCTTATGACTACAACAGAGCCAAGGTCACTTCCGGGAGGGAAAATTTCCTGTAATCTGTTTATTGTAAGAAAATTATACAGCTATCGACAATAGCCACCACCTATGATTACGTGAACTTAGAAAAAAGATAAAAAATAACACTTATAAGACTGGGGGAAATAGCATAAGTGCCAAATATATGAACAATACAAGTTTGCCATGGTAAACAATTTTGCATGAACTAAGTAAAACAAAATAGTGCTTGACCTGTCAGATAATATTTCACCCAGTGTCTGGCAGTCAAACAATGAGACCTGTCTTATGCTGAAGATATCAATTTACATGGACCAAAACAAGAAACCTGCTATAGTGAGGCACCTATGAAATATTGTATTCCAGCTCATATATCCATGTCTGCAAATCATTACCTGTCTGTGCTGTCTGGCATAAGCACCTGCACACACCTGTACAGGTAGACAGAAGTATACACCTGAACACTGCTTTACATCTACCTTGAAAAGGTTGCATATACACAGTGCATAGACAGGTGATTGTATTATACTGGGCCAGTCATATCAAATCTAGTTTCCTGGTATGGTATATGTGATACAGGAAATAAAGTATTTATATATATATAGCTAGATTACTTAATTACCAAATATTTACAAACTTACATATATAAACCCTGAGCATTAAATGCAGTATTCAACAGATGCTACCTCTCTGGAATCATGACTCTTTTTTAAAATTAAGGTAAAATTCTAACATTTTTCAACCATTAAAAAAAGTGAACTTTAATTTCATATACCTTTCCAACTAAATAATTTTCAAATTCAGTAAAAATATTTTGCAGCCAACTTAGCATGTACATGTGATTTTTCACACAGAAATTAAGCTCATGCTGGACATGCAGTCAAGTCTACTTCCCTATTATCAGTTAACTCTCAGACTCATATACCTTATAATAGAAGATTTCAACAATATCTCTGTCATAAGGAGTGGCTAAACATCCTGCTATGCGTCAATTCTCTAAACATGTGATAGTCTTGTGAAGATTCTTTTGTCTATAACTACTGGTCTTATCGGCCAATATTTCGTCTGCTTGCAGTCAGACTTCATCAGGAAATGCAAGGTGTACAAGCAGAAGAAATATTGGCTGCTAAGACCAGACAAATATAAGTAGCTATAGACAAAAGAATCTTCACAAGCCTATCACAATAACATAGCTAATAAACTGTTCTACACTAAACACGTGGTCTATAGAAAAAGTAGCAGAGTTAAGATATTACAGTTTTTTTTAGACACATTATACTGCAACTCACCATGGGATCTTTGGATCAGTACTATAAGTAACTGCTGGATTGTTAGTTAGGATCTTTGTTAATGGCATTGTTAAAATAAAGGTCAAATACAAAATTATGCGAAACTGTAATAATGTTCATTTAGAGAGAACATAGTAAAAACTAAAATCGCTACGTAAGGACTTGTTTGAAGGTTTGCAGATGTGTCCTACTTAGGCAAAGAAGGAAAAATTCTGTCATTTTAAAAATAAAAACGTGGAACTTGTCACATGAGGAAAAAAAAGGAGATCAGACCAAGGTCGAAAAACATACATCCTTGCATAAAAACAAAGAAAACACAAAAAGTTCGAAATAACATTTCCCTAAATTGGAACACAGTATGGACGAACACTATGCAAGCTGATATTACTGAATAAAGTTTTAATTTTCTCATGAGTTTAAGATATTTAAGGAGTAATACTTACCGGCAAAATGACCTTGTAGCTGTCTGCAAACGATATGGCGACTGTGACCCCCGAAGGTCATTTTCACGCTGAGGTCAGAGAGGCAGCTGGCTAAAGCCAAGAGGCAGTCATATCAGAACCGGGGCCAGCAGTCATCCCAGGATATGTATTTTATCATCTGAATATTTCTTGGAATATGGATTAGAACTAAGTTACTTTTTCATCTGTGAAATACTATATTCTAGGAAGAAATATATCATTAATTGTGACAAACCACTAATAAACCAATTTGCTGTCATCACAATTTTAATTGAAAATCAAAAGCTCACATCCCCCTACTTTAAAAGTGATAGTGAGTGTATTAATTGAGCATTTGCTGAGAGAAACTACCTGAGACGATTTAAAAGAATTAAGAAATAAAGGACAGGACATGTGAAATATAACTATGAAGGTTAATTAATTGGACCCTGCTTACTCAATCTGGTCTGTAATGACATATTCCGCCATGTTGAGACCTGGCGTAACTTATCTCCGGACTTCAGTCAGTAGTATAGAATTATGGCCACCTCTCGTTGTGGGTGTTGTTGTCCCCTCCGAAGAAATAGACACTATTCTCGCTTCGATTGTGACGACGAAGAGGTGAGTTGAAACTCATATAAACAGTTTAGGATATTTACTTATTAAGTCATATTTCAAAAATGTCACCAGCCTTTTCGAACATGCCGAATTTTGTACTACATTGAAAGCGTCTGCTAGTTTCAAGTATACTGAATACTATCCTCGTGATAATACTGATACGGGTGGTTTTAAAAATTACTCAACAGATGTTGGTTCCTAGCCACTTCTTTGCCCGTGTGGAATTTGACTTATAATTACCAATCTTGAATCACAAGTCATAATTTTTCATAAGAAAGAAGTGTTTTTTAGTTAAAAAATATGTTCACACAGTGCTTATCAGCTTGACTGCTTATCAACAGTACATGTATCATCTAACACGGAAGGAAAACTTGTTTGCATTTATAGCTTTAATCATGCTTTTTATATCCTTTTATGACCTAACGTTTATCTTAGATGAACAGTGCATTTATTATGTATACTGCACGAATTGTCATACATTATTAAAATTTCTTTCAAGTGTTGATTAAAAAAGGAGGAAATTGTTGTTATGAAGATATTTAAAGTGAAAGTGAAAGTTAGTAATCTGGAAAGCACTCTTTTTTTTTTACTGTAGCAATAGTCTTATAAATGTCAAGGGCAGACAGAGCTTGGTATGATATATAGTCATATGAGTTACATATGCACTATTAAGTCATATTATGTAGTACCTAATGATAATAGCATTATATCTATATCAGGTATTATCTGCAGAAAGTTGATAATATATTCCCACTGTATATACAATTTATCTGACTTCTAACCTTTTGTATTCTGGTTTGGAGTCAAATTTGATCAAAATAACTGTCTGTGGCTGATGCTGATGGCCATGCATATATTTCTAGCTCATTGTTTCAAATTTTTTGTTAGAATTATTTTCTTCTTCTTTCCACTTTATTCTTGTGTAATGACCTTTAAAAAAGTAAATAAACGGTCAATGAAATAATCAAAAACCTATGATGAAGGGTCATAACACCAATCATGAAAAAAAAAAACGAAATATTGTAACATATTTTACCTGGAAATTTTTTGAAGTATTTTTGTTTTTTATATGCATTATTTAATATATTCAATTTTTTATATGTACTTTTGACAGTTACACTGCCTTTTTGTGCTTTATTTGCAGACCCCACTCTTGTCCAGCGGAGAGTCAGACCACCATGGGGACGTGCAATCAAGTAGCAATAAAGATTATGAAGTGAATATTATCTTTTGCCTCTTATAAGAACTATAATTTTGTCACAGATATGTATACATGTAGTTATTTGAAATTGATTATAGTTGAAAATGATATTTTATTATATTTGAAAATTTTTCATGAACACATTTGGATAGTTTTATTTCTTGAGAACAATACAATAGGCTCGTAATAAATGATTTATGTATTTTTAGTATTTTTGAGAAATAATATACATTTTTTTCTGATAAAAGATGATATATTTTTAATTATTAATACTTGACATTTGGATTTTATGTCTTAAAAATATATATTTAAATTTTAAAATGAAAAATGGCTATTCCCCATCAGGCAAGTCTGATTTTTTGCATTTTAATTATTTTTTGTTTTTTAATTATTGAGGAATTTATGTTCTGTTTATTTTTATGTGTCATGTTGCTCTGCTTCTAGAGTCTGGATTATAATGATAAGCTTGTACGCAACCTTCCCTTCGACTTGCTACTACAGGAACATGAAAGGGACAAGGTAACACTTCTGAAATTCTAATACCTTTAAGATTCCAAATATTTTCACAATGTTTGTTGATGGTACATTTCAACTTGAAGAAGCTCCCGCCATCTTTGAATTTTTTTACTCTTGTCCTATAACCAAAGTTATTATGTTGAAAAAATGTTTTAACTTATTGAATTGTTGTACAATTGGTTTATCAAAATACATTATCCATTTGCTTTAAATTTTTTTAATTCAATATAAACTCTGGTTTCATTTGTTTGAGCGAAAAATTATCATTATTTATTTATTTATTTATTTATTTATTTATTTTTGCAGCATTTCTGGATCAAGCAGGAGATTATGAAATGGGTGGTCACCTTTATGATAGGAGCAGGAACAGGCATAGTAAGTGGGTACTAGTAAAGGCACTTTCATGATATGTGTGCCTTGTTTAGCCACTGTATTTTTCTTCAACAAATTTTGAGAGTAAAATTTAACAGTCAGTTATTTAAATAATATAACTTAATTGGTATATGCATTATAATCAAACTTTTCCTCTTCAGTGTTCAATTTTTTTTTTTTTTTTTTTTTTTTTTGCTTGACTTAAATGACATTATGTGTATTTCACTCGACAGTGTGTGTAACTTAATGCCTTTGGTTTTCATTTCTTTTCAGATTGCCTTTTTAATAGACTTCATAGTGGGAAAGCTGTCTGAATTAAAGTTTATGGTGGTTGAAAAATGTATCCATAAATGGTAAATTATTTAGTGAGAAATTTGAGGTTTTTAGGGCTTTTTGGTTTTGATTTTGTAAGGGTCTTATCAGTCAGAGTTTTGGAGTTTTTTTTATTGTTACAGTGTGATTTTTGGTTGAGAAAAATGGTAGGATTGTTTTATTTGACTTTGCACTATTGTAACCTTTATTTCTATATCTAATTTGCATTGTTTTTGATGCTTTAAAGAATCTTTAAGGTATTTTAAATTTCTTGCCTTTAAGTTGAATCTTGCAGTGGTTTTTCAATCAATTGTTCATATGTTTTTATTGACTTCTAAAGGATCTACATATTAATGAGGTCACTAAGTTCTCATTTCTCCTCCATCACAGATATAAAATTGTTGCAAGTCACTGGCCTTTGTTAAGAATCCCAAATCTTGATTACATGAATTGTAACAGAACTGATAAATTATATTTTCCAAAAAATTAATTTTTATAAGCTAGTCTATTCACAGTATTGATTAAAACAGTTAGTAAGTCCATTTCCCCATGATTTAGAATTGAGAACCTTGTAAAATACTACGTACATGTAGATGCCTTTGTACTGATACAAGTTTCGACACTCACACGTTTGCTGTGTTCTTTGTTCACCTTAACTGAGTGTTAATAAGCCATTAATGAGTGTTCAACAGAAGGATGTCTGGCTATTTCTCTTCTCTATCTACTGGCCTTCAATGTAGGTTTTGTCCTCATAGCTGCCGTACTCACTGTAATAGAGGTAAGGTGTGGTCATTATTCGATCTTTTCAATGGGCAAAAATCATCAAACTTTCAGATACCGGTACATTATTTTATAATCACAAAAATTAAATGTTTGTATTTCTGTATGGAATTTGTGGTGCTTTTACTACATAGAGGACAACTTTTGAGTAGCTTGGTTTTTAATTTTGTTGCAAATACTGAATTAGACATGTTCTAATTTTAAAAAATTATGACTATAAAATATGGTATCTGAAAAATTCACACAACCCCTCCCTGTTGAAAAGGTCGAGTTATAATTATCATTGTATGGTAGGGCTGGGTAACATGCTATATGTATATGCATATGCATATGTGTCAGTAAACATGTGAACAAATGGCATTCACATGCACATATACAGCAAACAGCACAATGAACACAATGAACAATGAATATACAGCACAATGAACACAATGAACAATGAATATACAGCACAATGAACACAATGAACAATGAATATACAGCACAATGAACACAATGAGCAATGAATATACAGCACAATGAACCCTAACAGCCAAACTCAAATCCTGTGCTCACTGGCACCTACATGCAGGCAGACAAGCATACATACGTGTACACCCACATGCATACACCCACATACATGACAAAAATACAGGGAATCCTGATAAACCACCAGTGCATTCAATTCAATTCAATTATATGCCAACATGAACACATGCACACAAATATTTGAGTAATTTTCTTGGATTATTCACTGTAGAACTTGTTCAGTATGGGCAGACTTAAATATGCTATTTATTTTATTTATTTTATTTTTACTTTTTTTTGTGTGTGTGTGTGTGTGTTTGTACGTGTGTGTGACATGTAGTCATAGTGATACAGATGTACATGACTAGATATAATATTTTCACATACAGTCTTGTACAAAAGTGTCTGGAGGTAAAATTGAAATCTAAGACTAAGAAAAATAAAATATTAAACATATTCAAATTCTTAAATTTACAAAAAAAAAAGATGTAGACCAATTTTGTTATTTTTCTATTGAGCAAAATTAAAAACTTTTATTATTATTATTATTCAGCCAATAGCTGCAGGCTCGGGTATCCCAGAGATCAAGTGTTATTTAAATGGGATCAAGATGCCGAGGGTGGCCAGGATGAAGACACTGGTGTCTAAGGCAGTCGGAGTGCTCTTCAGTGTGGCTGGAGGTAGGTGGTCTGGTCAGTGTAGCTGGAGGTATGCTTAAACCACGGCTAGTGCGTAGAACAAAAGACCCGGCTGTACTGTATTCGACATACAAGCACGTCATGAGTGTGTTCCACGGTCTGTTGCACTCCCGTTACTCGCTGGTGTAGTAGCCAATCAGAGGCCATGGTTTAAGCCAGATGCAGCACTCATCGCGGAGCTGTACGTGAAAATTACTGGCTTGCGGCTCGACAATACACTTGTAATATTTCATGTACAGCTCCGCGACTCGTATTGTAGAGCTCACTTGTCAGCTAGAATGAATTAAAGGTCCAATAATGAAATCAATCAAAAAAAAAAAAAATGAACTTTATATTCCAGGTCTGTTTGTTGGCAAGGAAGGTCCTATGATCCACAGTGGTGCTATACTTGGTGCTGGAATCCCCATGTTAAGCAGTACAACCTGTAAATGTGTGGACTGCAGATATAAACACTTCAGAACTGACAGGTACTTCTGAGTTCTTAAAACTGTGCCCAACTGCTTACATGCATGCACGTGCCTTTATGAAAACACTTGCACACACACACACACACACACACACACACATTCTTGTGTTCACGTATCAACGTACACATGCACGTATTCATACCAATACTTCAAGACTGACAGGTACATGTGTTTCTTTTTAGTTTTCAAATTGTTCTCTAAACTACAATTTCACACGCACGCACGCATGCACGCACGCACGCACACATTCACAATGTGCTCTGAACATACTACACAAACCTGTATATAATTGTTAATTAGATTGCTATAATAACACTATACAATGTATTTCTCATGCTTGTCACTAGTGTCTTAGTAATTAAATAGTGTTCTTCTTAGGAGAGAGGAGATACATGTATAAGATAAGATTTTGTTGTTTTCTCATTTACCTTACTCAATGCATGCACAGATGCCTGTTTGGATATTTTGTATTTAAGTATTTATAATAGTAAATATGTCACACAATTGTTTGCATTCTACTAAGTTATAATCTATTATATTTGGCATGTTAAGTATGTATTTAAATTATTTCAGAGATAAAAGAGATTTTGTGTCATCAGGAGCAGCAGCAGGTGTGGCAGGTCAGGACACATTACAATGTACTTATATGGATAAAATAAATTGAAATTATAGGCTCTGTTCTCACAACTTTTAGATCGATCTATCACCGCGGGGAGTCTCACTAGATTACTGTCAGATAATCCCCCTTAAGTGTCCGTCCCCGCCTACTACAAGCTTTAAGGGGTAATTAACTTTCGTGTCCGCCCGGCTGACAGCTATTTAGCGTGAACCCCCAGGGAGTTAGGTCGATCCAATGTAGGTCGATCTAATCTATGAGAATGGGGTGATAG